TTTTTCTCCTTCTCTATCTTTTTGATGGTCGACAACGGAAGTGACACTGTAAAGTACATTGGACGGATGTATGCACCCACAATTCAATCGTTACATGCGTGCAATGTGCGTGCTAAGTCGATTGAACGGCCTGAGTATGTCCCATGGGACGCTACAAAAACCAACAAATAAGTACAACAATAATATGTTTCTTCTCCTTCTTTCCCATAAGTATACGTGCTTTTCATAAGTATCTCTTTGGCAATCAGATAAAGTCATCATATACATAATGCTTTAGGCATAAAATTAATTCTGTTGTATATATTATAATATAAGTCAGGTGTATTAGAAACTACGTAGCACTAATGAATAGTAATTACTCTTATATATACAATAGAGTTTTATTTGACATTATATAAAACATACCATTAAATTTTTTTTGGAATTAATGTTTCCAGGCGAATAGTTAATCCTCTGACATATTCATGCTATGTCTTTTCTCACACTTTTTTCCACTTGGATTCGCATTTTCACTCGTTCTTTTCTTCTTCTTCTGCTTCTGCCTCTTCTACTTCTACTTCTTATAAGTTTTTCTTATATTTAATAATTTCGAGAACGTGAATTATGTTCATGTGCTATTGTATGCGGTAGTAGGACCATCAGCGACAGATTGTGTTCGTTCATGTCTTCTCCTTTGCGACATGCAAAAGAATAGAGAGAGAGGGAGAAGAAGAAAGAATGACTTAGTAACCTCCTCTTCGCCTGCTATGTCGTCTATTTCAGTATTTTCTCAAGCAAGGAAGTTTTGCAACAAACTATCCTTTTCTTCTTAGTGTCTGTCATACAATGAGACAGAAAAGCAAGGGAGAGGGAGAGAGAGAGAACTAGGGAGAAAACGAAAGGAGAAGAAAATATATAGAGAGACAAATGGTTAACTAGAGAACGAGAGTATAACAAGAAAAAACAATCATTTTTATTGTAATTATAATTTTGTTGGTCATGTACGCACGCACGCACAATTGCTGCTGTCATTCTTTTGTTTTTATAATGTTAAAACGATGTAATGATGAATCTTGCAGATGCAGGTAATCAAATAGCTCATAAAAAATATAAGTTGATAGTAGAAGAAAAGAGACCGAGGTGGAGAGGGAGGGGAAGAGACACAAAGAGAGACAGAGAGAGAGAAGGAGAAGGAAAGAAAGAGACAGGAAAAGAAGACGAAAAACCTCTTTACATTGTCAGTCTATTGAATACTCATCGACGAGAGAACAAAGATAGTAACATTATTAATAAAAAGGTAAAACAAAGACTTCGGTGTTTATTTTTCTTCGAACAATTAATAGTTGCTTTGAGTATCATCAATAACATTGTTGTCGGCAAATGTTTTGCTCAATATATATGAAAATGATGAATAAATAAAAATATTTACTACTTATTGTCTTTTTAAAGTTCTTCTCTATCTATTATTCTTAAGATTTACACTTTATAGATGAAGATTATTAGATTCCTTATCTTTACTAATCATACAATTGTTCATCAATTATCATGATTCGACGTCAAATCTTATTAACTGTTCTTTTTGGACTTATATTTCAAATATTTTTCTCAACAACAAATACACTTTCAATAAATGAAACGAAATCAAATGAATGGACATCAGACAATCCAAATAATATATGTGAATCAGCATCTATTGATGAATTTCCAATATTATTTTTTACTAATGAACAGTGTCGTCAGGGTGCTGTTCTAGTTCATATTCTACTTATACTCTATTCATTTGCAGCTATTGAAATTGTTTGTGATGATTATTTTGCTTCGGCATTAGAAAAAATAAGTTATAATTTAAATTTAACTCCGGTATAGAAATTTTTTCAAGAATAAGATCAATAGAATAATTTTTTTTTGTTTCTATTAGGATGTCGCTGGAGCAACTTTTATGGCATTAGCAACATCAGCATCAGAATTTTTTACATCGATAGTTGGAGTTTTCTTCGTCAAATCGGATATCGCTCGTAAGTTAAAATTATAAAAAAATGACATAGACATATTTATAATTAACTATAATTATAGTAAGGAATCGGAAAGTATTGACGTAGACTATTTTTAATTCTAAATATAGGATGAAAACAAAACGGAAGCAAAAGAAAATGTTATTTCTCTTCTCTTTAAAAAAAAATTTTAAATCATGTATTTTTTATTCTTATTTTAAGTGGGTACAATTGTTGGTTCTGCTGTATTCAATGTTCTTTTCGTAATTGCTTTATGTGCTCTTATATCGACAACTGTATGTCAATTAGAAGCCTATCCAATTGTACGAGATGCTGGATTTTATTGTATTGCTGTTGCTGCCCTATATATAGTGATCTATGATCAACGTGTTTATTGGTATGAAGGACTTGCACTTGTCTTACTTTATTTTGTTTATGTGGCTATTTTAAAATTTAATGATCGTATATCACGTTTAATACATGGAGATTCATCAAATCAAACACATGGTAAATCAGGTGAACATAATCTTGAACAACTACAAGTATTAAATGATAATGTTGAATTAGAACAAAATCTAACTACACGTGCTCGTTCAGTTTCAGAATCTGTTATGATGAATACAGGCATAACACCATTAGGTAATCAATATATGAAACGACGTTCAACATATAAACCATGTCAAAAACGACTTAAAGATACATTAGATAATCATCAAATAGTTGCGAATGCAACTGAAATCTTTGATCCACTTAAATTACCAACAAAAAGATATAAAATATTAAAATGGATTCTTATGTATCCAGTTCGTTTACTTATGCATATTACAATACCAGATTGTCGAAAAGAAGTTTTTCATAATTATTATATGCTTACATTTGTTATGTCAACTATTTGGGTAAATATTTATTCTAATAAAAGATAAAGATTATGATTTATCTTTGTTTCTTTTTAAAAAAAACATAGGTTGCTGGTCTAGCTTATCTACTTGTATGGCTTGTTGTCATTGTTGGTTTTACTTTAAATATTCGAGATAGTATTATGGGTTTAACAATATTAGCTGTTGGTTCATCAATTGAAGAAATATTTTCAGCTATTGTTATGACAAGACGTGGTCATCCTGAAATGGCTATTGCAGGTTCAATCGGTTCAAATGTATTTGATATTTTAATGGGTTTAGGTATACCATGGTTATTTCGTAATTTAATGAGATTTACTTATCAACCACCACCACCAATTCTTGATGGTTCAACTCTAGGAGTTCTAACACCAGATCCATTACTTGATAATCGTGCAACAATTCCACCTGTTAATATTCCATTCTATGTTGAAATTCATTCACGAGGATTAGTTTATTCAACAGTCGTTCTTTTTATTGCACTCGTCATATTTCTTTTAACATTCTTTGTGAATCGATGTCGTTTAACAAAACTCTATGGAGTTTTTCTTATTATTATTTGGCTGACTGTCATAACATTGATGTGTTCATTTGAATTGAATATTTTTGGTTCGGTACATCCTGAGCCATGTAAAAAAAAGACTTAGTAATATTATTTAAAAAATAAACTTTTATGTCTATGTTTCTTTCTTTTTTTTTTTGTATATGTATTTTGATGTCAATGAAACAGAAGAAAAAAAAATATTATTTAAACTATTTTCGTCTCAATAAAGAAAAAGATGTTATTCATAGAAACTCTCATACAACATAATCAAATAAAGTTTACGCACAAGATGAAGAGAGAATGAACGAAAAAAAGAAAACGTTTATTTGCTTTTAGATAGAATAGAAAATTATGATGCGCTTCGAAAATCTAGAAAATAAACGATATTATTATTTAATTTATATGTTACTAAATACAGATAGAGAGAAAAAAACGGCTTTTTAATGTCTCTATATTGACAAACTAATTAAAAGGAACAAATTGCATTTTCAGATATGTGAAATAGAATACATGACTGAATCTCTAAAAGGCTTTTAAGCCTTGCCTCTTTTCTTTTCTTTTTTTTTTCGATCACTCCCTATATATTCTCATTTTATCTTAATGTAATAAGCATCATCAACATTTCCATACTCATTTATTCCCAAAATAATAAGTGATAGTGTTCAATTCAATAGTAATACATTGTTAACGAGTTTTAACGCTTATACGATTAGTTTATAGACGAAAAACTAAATGATTCTCAAGCTTTTTTTTCCTACAAAAATAAATACCAAAAAAAAAACAAGAATCAGTGCTATTTTATGCATTTAAAGAACAGATTAGTTCAGTTCTTAACATTCAAAATCAAATAAAATATTTATAAACAATTGTAATCAACGATTATTATATGAAAATAAATAAATCTTTCATTCGTATATATATTTTCGTTAGAATCAAGTATAAATTAGCATTCTTTACATTTCATACCAAGCTATAACGAAGCCAATTTATTCACATATCAATAATACATTTATATTATAAATTTGTAGGTCAATTTATAATTGGCCGTATTTCATTTTTAGAATCTCAAAATTATAATATTGTTTCTACTGCTCACGTGAACTAATTAAGAATGTAGAAACGACTAGATATATATCTAATAAAGCTTTTAGAAAATATATTTATTGTTAGATATTAATAATTCACTTCATTTCCTTCCTTTGTCTTTTATGCAATATGAATTATGAATTTGTTTAATGTAAAAAATAATTTTACATCACACTCTTATAATATAAGACATTTTTCATTTGTTCCCTTTGGTAATGAAAAAAGGAAATTAAAAGTTAATATATCTATCATTTACACTATTTCTATTCTACACACATTCTATCAATATTGCAATAACTTCCTGTAACTTATTTTTGTTAATATATTTTTTTTTGTCAATGAATTGTAAAGTATTAAATAACGAGATTTTTTGTTATTCTTCTATTTTGTCAATCATATTAAACAGAAAAAAAACATATTTTTATATCGAATTAAAATTTGAACAGAAAAAAAACGATCACCAATAAACATTTTCTTATGTATTTCATTAGATTGTTAATGAAATTAAACAATACGTGAAATCTGTCTATACGTTGATGTACGTTTATAATAATCAGTAAATAAAAATTTATCTGTTAGAAAATATCTTATTGTATTAAGTAAACGACAAGGCTTTATTTGTGTCAAATATGACCATGCATTTGTGGCGAAATCTGTTAGAGTAAATGGAGGATAACCACCTGAATATAAATATAAGAGAAAAATTAATAAATTTAAAAGAACAAAAACTATTTTTACCATTAAGATAACGAACAAAACAATATGCATCTAAATGTTCACCTTTAATAAGATAATAATATGGTAGATGTGTACGATATTGAAATAAATTTGATTGATAAAATTGTATTGCTTGTTTATTTGAATGTAAAACATGTAAATAAACAGCTTTACATGTTTCATGTCTATATAATGTATTTAATAGATTTTCTAATAGAAGATTTGCTAGACCTTGTCGTCGATATTCTTTAACAACACCTAATATAAGTATATAACAAGCTGATGCTGTTAATGAAAATATTCTGTTTAAAATTTGTTGATCTTCACGATTACAATTTTCTATTGGAAGTATATTAGCAACAATTAAACCAATAATTTGTTGTGTACAAACATCACATACAGCTAATGCAAAATATTTCTTATCATAAACTATATCATCATACCATTTATCTGGATATTCAATAGGAAACCAATCACGACAAAGAATTTTAACTTCCGATTGATCACCAGGACGTAAAAAACGAAATGTTATTGATAAATTACTATTTGGTAAAACATGAATCGATTCAGTATCAAATATATCTAGATTAAGTAATATTGATGATGATGATGATGATGTCTGCATGTGACGATGTTTAGAATGACGACGACGAGTTCGAATGAAGTTGAAGTCTTATAAATAGAGAAAACACATAAAAAGATTAAAATAAATGAAAACAAACTTTTTTCCTCATTGTGATTTTATTGAGTAAATCTATAGTAATAAATGAAACATGTACTGAATGATCGAGAGACTTGTCTACATTCTCTTTCATCTATGTACCGTGAATCTATTGCTTTACGGTCTAGTGTCTATTAATATACAATATGATGTTCAGTACAATGATTTTTTGCTATTAGTCTTGCTAATTTCGCTCTTATAACATAAACATATATGTACACCCTTTCCTTGACCTTTCTCTCACGTATTGTAGGCAAACACAGTATATACATAGAATACTATTGTGCTGTAGTGGAACAAGTTTTTCGTCATCTATTATCAATATTTAACAAGTAACGCTCGTCCGAAGTTCGCTTAGCTCTTCCTCGTAGAAACGCATCTTCTTCACATTTACTGGAAAAAACAATTCAGAACCAGTTTTCGATGTTTTTTTGACCTTTGCTCCCCTTTATCATGGCTACCCAATAGACCTCAGATTCAAGGTCCCCGCATCGAAATGTCTTTTCCGGAAAATTAGTCTTCGATGTTTTTTTGACCCTGCGGACACACAAGCAAGCAAAAAATTTATAGTTACTGGACTCTTCTCTATGAGATATAGAATTACTTTATTTATTTTCGAAAAAAAACTTACCCGACAGTTTTACACTTTTTTATAAAACAGTAACAGTTCGTCGGTCTTCATCTGAAATAACTAAAAACAAATAAAACATATCTATATTTCTGTCGTTTCAGACAAAAAATAAAATAGTTTTTCTTTTTCGATCGTCTATTATAAATGAAAGAGAAACAAAATATACAATTTACAGCTAATTAGTGCTGGTCAAAGTTATGATTCATACGAAAAATAATTTATCAGATTCAACAATCTATAGTTAAGAACAAAAAAGAAATACAAATACTCAGTTATCAATCTGAAAAGAATGCTTAACTTTCTTTCACTATATTCAATAAAAAATTAAAATAGTTTAAAAGAAAGAAAATTTATTTTCATTAAAATATTTTTATGCATAATAAAACTTGGAAAAAAAGAGCATAAAATTTTCTAATTACTGTTTATTCTATATGAAAATTAAATATTTAAAACTAGTAAAAGAAATATAATACAATGTCACTGTCTCTCTCTCTCTCTCTTCCCATTTTTCGCTTTTAGATAAATAAAGTCATTCATCGGTTTTCAAAATGAAATAGTGAAGATAGTCTTAACACAAAAACTCTTGAAAGACATTTGAATCTTATAATATATGCATATGTATATATATATCTAAAATTTTAGAGTTAGTTTAATTATTATATCTACATTTGTAGAATAAATATATATAGAGTTCAAAAATCTGAGATAAAATCTGTTGAGATATTTGCTTTAACAATGTGGACGATGTTCACCATACATAATTAACCTTTCAGGTTCATTAATAAGTTCATCATTATGATCATGAAATGTTCCAATTCCACCAGACATTTGTCCTCGTGTTATAACATTTTCATTGTAATCTTGATTAAAATTACTTAATGCTAATAGAACAGAATTATCAGCTGCATCAAGTTGACCAATACCGGATGTATTCGTTAATACATTTGATGGTATATATCCAGCATAAGGTGTTTGATCTAGAGGATTAATTAATGATGATGATTCCATTTTAGATTCATCATCTTCCATTATTGTTGATATATGATTACGTTGTAAATATGACACTGTACCAGGTGAATTTTGTGAATGATGAAGTTGTTGTTGTTGTAATAAATAATTTGTTGTCATTACTTGACCTGTTGTAACACCACAATAATCACGTAAAGAATTAACTTGTGTTGTTAACATATTCATACCAGCACGCATTAAATTACCGGGATTACGTAACGATGATAATGTTTGATCACGCATAGTATTTAAACGATGTTGACTAGTTTCACGAATTGAATGAAGATAAGCAGCAGAGCTAGAAGAAAAATAAATAAATAATTTTCTTATTTTGATTAGTTTTCTCGAAAAATAATTTACCTTTCAGCAGCTTGTCGAATAGTTCCACCAGCGTGTTGTACACCATAGGTAAATAATTCTGATGCTCGACCCATTGTTTGTCCCATATGTTCACTAACTTGTTGTACACCTAAACGAAGTTTATCACGAACTTGTTCAAGTGTTCCACTTATATTTGCTGCTGCTAATGATAACCATTGATTTAATTCAAAATTTGGTGGTGTACGTGAAGCACTATTAGGTGTCATCGTTGGATATATTGGTGGTGTTCGTAAATGATCAGCTGAATAATATGAGGTTCGTTTTATTGTTACACAAAGTGCACCAGCAACAAGTGCCATAAAAAATCCAAATGCCATTGTATAAATAAGATGCCATAGAGCACGTTTTTGTCCGTATGAATTGATATCAAAATCAAATTCATGTGTATATATTCCAAGCATATTAATACCGGAACATGAAATATGATGTCGTAAACCAGCACGTGCTTGTGTTACCGATAAATGATTTGTATTGAATGCATGTAATATATGTCGTGTACGGGCAGTTAATGGACCAGCTAAAGCTGTTAATGTAGTATAGATTGGTTCATCATAGACTGATGAAAGTAAATCAATATTTGATGAATTTATTGTTGTGAGATTACCAAATGGTGTTGACCAAATAATAATAGGTGCAGGTTGCGCATTAATTGGACAGATAAGAGTAAATGTTGAAAAACGTAAATAAGTCGCAGGATGAGCATCATATGGTCGAGATTCATGATATGGTGCCAAACAATTATTGCTATCACTCTAAATTATAATATTTAAAAGTATTGTAAAAATCAAAAGTAGAGAACTATACAATGCGCTATTTATACGCTAAAATCTCATGTAATTTAAATTTACTCTAATATAAATATTTTGAATCTAATCTGAATATAATATTATCAGAAATAATAACTATGTACCTTTTATATTAAAATCTATTTCGATTAATACCAAATCAAAAAGTATCTTTTTCAATTACTACGCGTATTCAATCAATTATTGATGAAAGTCGATTTTGCCATTCATCAACGATTACTATGTTCATTACTGCGCATTCTCCACGTCCGATTTGATATTGTATGCCATGACGTATTCTAATCTTTTCAAGTCAACCGTTACTAGTCTTAAAATCATCGGCATCTGCTACACCAAGTTATTGACGAATTTACTTGACTTGTTGTTGAATGACCAACCATTCATAAACTTCTTCATTGGGCTGTTGATTTCTTACTGTATTCATAACTTTCTTTGTATTCTCTGTTGCGTTTGATAATATTTGATATGCTATCAATCGAGATTTTGTACTTTTCGGCAACTGTACACTATGAAGCGTTATCTTCATTTCTAGGAATTACTTGCACTTTCTCACATAACGTTAATGTGTGTTTTATCGCCATTTCACAATCAAAGATAGGAATATGTATTATTCTCTCAAATAGAATCGGCTAACTCATCGTGGACTATTCACTCTCATTGTTCATAGTTGGAAGGTGTTCATCTTATGAAGGGCTACTTACAGTAAAAATCCATGAGGGGGACTGAAACATCTGTTCAAACCGGAGATGTTCATCAACAGAGGTTTCACTGTAATTAGTTTTTAACTTGAGGACTCATTGGTACAACCTATAGCAGTGCATTTTAGATATCCAAGAAGTTCATAAAAGTTGTTCAACAAAAACTATAGAAATATAGGAAAGAACGAAATATATATGTATATCGCGAGTTACA